TCCCCAGACCAAATCCCCTGGGAAATGCTGGACATGCAGGCCTCTGGGGAAATCAACGTCCCACTGTTCCCCTTGCCACACCCTTTAGTTTGAGTCATTCCCTGTGAACCCGTTAGCTCAGATGCACAGCCATTCCAATCACAGCTGCAGCAATTGTTTGGGTTGTCTGCCCGGCAGCTGCCCTGCAGCCCCTAACCTCGGAGCCAGCCCAGTGCCTGCTAATGAGCAAGGGCTCTTCCCTTCACGGTGACTCTTGCTGAAAGAAGCACATTCCTGTTTATGAGCATTAAGAGTTTACGTGGACTGCCAAGACAGAAGCGGACATAAAGGTGGAAAAAATAAGAGAAAGGGAGGTTAAAGTCAACACACACAGCTCTGAATGAGGGTCCTAGACAGTGGCTGGAGGAGGATGAGAAATAAAGCTCTGAGCTTCTAGCAGAGAGAAGAGAGGGTCACCCCTGTTAGAGTCCCTTCAGCAGCTGAGCAAGTAGTGGCAGGTTCTTCCCGGAAGGGTAGATGGAGTTATTAGTAGTGCAGGTCTTGGTAAAGAGGGCATTGGGGTGGTCATTGAGGTGGCTTTCCCAATCCCCGTTTCACTCTATACAGTTAATCTAAACATCTCCATGAACCAGGCATGGTGGCACACATCTATAATCCTGGCATCCAGAAAACAGGCAGGAGGATCACTGCAAGTTTGGTATCAGCCTGGGCTACAAAGTAAGCTCAAGGCCAGCCTGAACTGCATAGTGAGACCCTGTCTCAAAAAGACAATAAACAAATAATTATATAAAAATAAACCTTTCCATGCATTTTTCCATCCCCCATCAGTGACTGCTGCTAGTAATGGACAGGTGTCCTCAGCCAGGCAGGGAGTTGGGGTGAGAGTTTTGGGAGGTTCTAGAAAATAATTTCATGCCTTTATGAAATGTCCTTTTTCCCTCTCAAAGTCACTGTGCCCAGATGTGATGTCTGAAGCTGCTGCAGCCATTTCAGCCCTGGCTTCAGATGTGGCTTCAGGGAGAAGAGATGGATCTGGAGTCCAGTCTCCCTCTGAACCTCTGCTGGCTGGGGTGCACATTTTCTTGGTTTTTTTTTTTTTTTTTTTTTTTTTTTTGAGATGGGGTCTCACTATGCAGTTCAAGCTGGCCTTGAGCTCACTTTGTAGCCCAGGCTGGTATTGAACTCACAACGATCCTCCCACCTCAGCCTCCCGAGTGCTGGGATTACAGGCATGAGCCACCACACCGGTCTCTACATTTTCTTGTTTTTAAGGCCCTTGAGTGAAGTGTTTACATGCTTTCGAGCTGGATACATTAAGTCTTCCAATTGATAAATGTGGCTTCTCTCTCGGTTTTGGATATCTCCTTTCATTTCTCTTGTGTTTTAAACTTGTACACATAGATGTCTTGGGTATACTTCACTGAATTATTCCAAAGGGCTGTTGTTATGGTTTATATCTAGATGTCCCCCAAGGGTCTCATGTGCTCAATGCTGGGGTTTTTGGAAGGTGATTGGACGACCAGGGCCTCCGACTTGCTATTAGGAGGTAGGATCTGGTGGAAGAGGCCGGTCACACGGTATGTGGCTGGGATAGATTTATCTCCTGTGCCAATTCCTCCCTTCACTCTGCTTCCTGTCCTCCAGGCCCTGAGCAGCTCTTCTTCACCATTCCATCCTGCCTTGGTGCTGGCCAACCATGCAAGTGCTGATTCTTCTAAAACAGAAGCCAATGTAAATCTCTCCTTTAGTTGTAGGTGTTGGGTATTTTGTTTTAGCAATGAGGAAAGTAACTCAAATAGCTGGGATGTAGTTTAGCGATTGAGCACTTACTTGCCTGGCTTGTGCAAGGTCCTGGGTTCTGACTTCCGGGAAGATGGTGGAACAGTAAGCAGCAGACAAATTAGCCTTTCTGAGAGAAACAATCCAGATGCTGGAATATAGCATTGTGGGGAAAACAAGGAGGAGGGAAGTGAGTCCCCTTAACTCAGAAATAACCTAAAGTGAGAACTTAAGCCCACAGAGAAATTTAAAAAAGGAAAATTTACACCAAGGAGAAGGTGGTAGCTGGCAGGGCCTTCACCCAGAGCCAGACCCACCATGCAAGAAGAGCTGCTGAAACCTGGGGATGCAGGGTTACAGTGACAGTGGTGGCTGGCAAGCTCAAAGGCCTCTGCAAAGAGACTCAATGGCGGAGGGGAGCAGCAGACTGGAAAACTGCACTGGCTGGTGAGCACAGAGGACTCAGTCCTCCCATGGGAGAGGGTAATTGGCTGAGAGCCATTTTGGAGTCAGGTAGGATAAGCCTGGAACCAGGACTGCAGCCAGTTTCCTTCAGCCACTCTTAGCTCAGAGCAGACTGGTGGAAATTGCTTAGACTGAGTGCCGCCCCTGTGCACATTCCAAAGGCCATCCCCTGAGGTTCCCTAAATCTATCCCCAACCAACTCCACCTCCTGAGTGTACTCTCTCTGGTGGGGGCTCCCTGTTGTTAACCAGCCCAGAAGGGAGGCGGTAGCCTGCCCCACCGACCCCAATTGCACTCCACCAGCCACCGGTGAGCAAAAGCAGGCTGGGAAGAGCAGCAGAAAGCCCTGTATCAGCACATCCCATGGTCACCATCAGATATCCCAAGCCAGCACTGGCTAGAAAAATCAAACAGTCTCTCTTCAGAGAAATTGTAGCCAACAAAGGAAGTGCTGGGACCCAACTACCCACTTGTCTGGAAGAAACCAGGAATAGGACAAAAGGAAAAAGCAAAAGGCAGTCTCTAGCCTTCAACCCAAGCAGTACTGGTACAGGAGATGTAAACACGGAAGAGATCAGGAGTCACACATCTGAAGTTTATGAATAACAACTGAATTAAAGAAACAACTTCATGAGGCTATAAAAGAAATTAGAACAGAAATACTATCTCAGGTAAGAGAAGAAATGAGAAACATAATAAAAGAATCACACTTGCAGTGATCCTACTGCCTCAGCCTTCAAGTGCAGAGATGACAGGCATGTGCCACCATGCCTGAACTTTAGCTATTCTTGTTGAGATTCTTTCCCATATAAATTGCAGGATAACCATGTTTATTATCAAAAAATCTTGCCTCTAAGATTCTTATAGATGCTGCTTTAAATATGAATGCATGTACATGAATTTGGGGAAAACCACCATGTTTACTATGCTGCATTTTCCAATTTATGTGCTGGGGTTGCAGGAGTGTACAGCTGGCCTCCATAGATATTTTAGAGTAAGCTTGTCAATTACAAAAAAGGTAATTGGAGTTCTGATAGGGATTGCATCAAAATGTAATTAATTTGATTATCATTTCCATCAGTTTCTAATTTGAGATCTTTTATTGACAGTAACCATAAGCCCTGAGGGGAAAGTTAGGTTCTGGTGATGTATGTCAAGTGAGATGCGAAGAGAAACTAAATCAAGCAGAAGAAATTTATTGCTCACAGGATCCAGAAAGGTTAGGGGTGCCTATGAGAAGTTATTGGGAAAAAGGAGTTCAATCAGTAGGTGGTGAGGGAAAAAGGACCTTCAGGAGGAATATGCCTGTTTTGAGGTGCATGGGAGTTATCCTTTAGGCTTCCCCCTGGGAGTAGTTTGAAGAAAACACATGGGAAGGTGTTATAGTTTGTATTTAGAAAGCCCCTCACCCCCCAGCCCCAAAGCTTATTGTGCTCAGAGACAGGGTTTGTAAGGTGATTAGATTGTGAGGTTTTCACAGCTGACTGCTTGTTAGGAAGTGGGGGGTCTGGTCTAAAGAAGCAGGTCAGCCAGTGCAGAAGATCACATACCTTACAACTGTGGGGGAGGCAGACACCTCTGGCTGTGGGCCATTGCACCCACATACTTCCTAAGGATAAAAACAGGGATTTTCTAAAAAGATCTCTATCATCCTGAGAAGCCAGTAACCCAACCCTTGTAGGCCCGGTTCTCTATTCATGCCCACTTGCTATATGACTCACTTCCCTATTTGATCCTGATTTGATCAATCTTACCTAAGCAATTATACTTGTAATATTATTGATTGACCATAGTTCTGTCCCACCTCATGAACACCTTGTGAGTTTCCATTTTTTCCTATAAAATCCCTAGAAAAGGCAGGGTCTTTGAAGCTTTGTCTCAATAAATATATTTGCTCTTAAAAAAAATAAAGAGGCAAGTCAGTGAGGTCTTGAACTGTATTAGCTTTCCAATGGATTTCTTAATTTTGCACAATTTTATTTATCAATCCAGATGCACTATATTGCCTAAATGCCCTTCAGTTCAGGCTGGTCTAGAGCTTTCTTTGTAGCCCAGGAGGGTCTTGAATTTGCAACAATCCTCCAGCCTTAGCCTCTGACTGCTGGGATTATGGGGGGCGGGCACCCAGCAATTTCTCCTTTTAAGCACGTTAACTATGAGCTAAATTTCCTCTTAGTATACTTCCCGAGAGTACCAAATCTTTCTAAACAGAAACCTGTTCTCAGCTAAATGGAGAATGGGAAATGAAGACATGGCCTATGAATATCCTCTATTTGCAGAATCATGAACAAAGTTGTATGGAGAATTCTAATTAGGAAAGAGAGACAATATTAAAATGGACTGAGACTGAAATGGAGTGAACAGATTTGTGAGGTTCAAATTATCTTTAATGGTCACACTTATGAATTCTTTGATGGTCAGATAATCCTAGGGGTCTATCCCTTGCTTTTTTCCGTCACAGATTTGATTTTACAAGAAATTAGCATCCACCTTATCTACAGAGAGCCATGATGAAAAGGGATCCTTTAAACTTCAAATAAAACTAATGTAAGGCACAACTATTCAGGAATATTTTCAAAATATTTAGGAATAGTTTAATTAGAAAAATAAAGGCAATGGGATTATCTATCAGGTTCTGAAAGTACCCATGAATTAAACCACCCCTTAAAACAAAACAAAACAAAACAAAACCTTAAATCACTATTAAGCTTTCTTACAGTAAAGAATAAAACCAAACTATGCTGAGTACAAAAATCTGAAATTCTGAGCACGAAAATAATTTATTGATTAGACATTTGATTTATTCAAGCATTAGGCCTACTGAACACAGCTATGGAGTAGGAAAAAAAAATTTCATCCAGCACCTGCATCACTTCAAACTTCCGGGGGACAGTTTATACATTCTGTGTTATGGCCTCACCCTGCAACATTCACATGGGCTCAATGTGGGTTAACTTTTTAACAAAAGGACATGAGAAACTTTGTGTTCACCCAAGTTGGCAAGTATCATGAGTGATACGACTTTCAGAAACATTCTCAGGCACAATGGCACTGCCTGCAGTGACAGTCTTTGATAATCAAAGAAATGACTACCATTAAATATAATCTTACAAATAGGAAAAATATATGCACTTTTGCCAATGGATTGCTTTACATATCGGGGAAAATGTCACAAGATTTTCCTTCTATGAGATAAAAAATTCCCTTTAACTGACATCAACTTTTAATGGATACCCAATATTAAAAGTCAGACAAAAGTAAAATCAATTTGACCTAAATGCAATTTAGGAAAGAAATGCAGGACAAGTCATAAGGAAAAATGGCTGCACTTCTTTGGCTAACTCAGTAAAAAAAATGTCAATTGAACATTTTCAGTCAAATTTTATTTGAAAAAAAAAGCAGCAGATCAACATCACAATTCAAGAATCTAATCTAAGTATGCACTTGACAATGAAGTACATCTGAGTATGGAGTAGAAAGGTTTTCCAAAAAACCATCGTATGTATTATCTCGAAATACCTAAGTAATAAAATGCTCTGTAAGCCTTTTGTTATGTGGAATCATAAAGAATTGAAAATTTATTGCTAGGAAAACAAATTTGTAACACAGTAGTATGAATCTTGGGTATTAAGCATAATCTGTTGAATTAAGAAGTTAATGTGGCAAAAAATCTGTGAGGGGTGTGTGTGTGTGTGACACAGAGAGAGAGAGAGAGAGAGAGAGAGAGAGAGAGAGAGAGAGAGAGAGACAGACAGACAGACAGAGACAGAGAGACAGAGAAAGACACTAGAAGCCAACTGACCCAAGAACAACTGAAATATCTTAACTTGTACAGTTGAGACCAGACACCATCATGTTAATTCTCCATTTTAGAAGGCAATTAAAAATCAACAATTCCAACAGCCCACAAACCAAATAAAAATGCAGAAATTAAATCTATGTTCAAAGAGCTTACTTTCCAGCTCATTTTCAGCACCCCAAGAAAAATAAAAGCATCCATGACTATCACAGATGAAAACAAAATGAATGTTATTGGAATCAGTTATTTTTCCCCACTGAGGTATAAAATCTATATAGAAATTTGATACTATACTATAACAAATTGTACTTCTCATAGTTCTGTTGTAATTTTTTTAACCCTGTTTAATATAGTTTTTTTTAAAATTGTTGTAAAAATGTTGTTTTCATGATTGTGAATCTGGTTCCAGTTCTTTTTCATCTATTTGTGTATCAATAGTTAATATACTGGCTACCAGTTCTAATCAGGAAAAAAATCTTGGAAATATCTTCATTATGATAGCACAGTCAGCAGAAATTACTGATGTGCAGGCAGACCATAAAAGGTACAGTTCTCCAGAAAGCACATTTCGTGATTGAGTTTTGTTGTCTGAATATTCTTTCCCATGATGCTTGATGAAAGACTCAATCTTGTAAACATCAGTGTGCAGTCTCACGTCCTTGGACAGGAAGCTGGTTCACAGCTAGTGAAAAGCTAGAGGAGTCTGAGTTTTAATGGCTGATAAACCTACATCCTGCAGAGGAAAGCACTTTTCCTTTTTTGCTACTTAAGAATGTGGCAGAAATGTATGCTGAGGTAGCCCAGTCAATCCTTTTTTGTTTCTTTCTCTCTCTCTCTCTTTTTTTTTTTAAATTTGGTCTCAGAATATTTCTGGAAGGGTGACGTTCCGAAGAAGCCACTGTTGGGACCGGCTTCCATTGCAGTCTCTAATGCTGGGCACCTGGCTATCCTCTTCTGTGGCTTTATCCAGGCACTGATTACTGTTCACATGCTGCAGGGTTAATTTCTGAAAGTGACAAAAAAAAAAAAAAAATCTTAACATGAAAGTAGAAGGGGAAAACAATCTCAACCATCATTTTTTGGATAATTATTAATACCGCTGCAGATAAGATTATTTGGGGGAAGGGAATATACATTATTTGAATAATGGAGAAAAGATAGGCATACATTTAATGCTAGCATTAAGAGGTATATAGGGAAGAACAGTAGTGAGGTACAGTGGGACCCACTGGATTTGCAGAAAGATGACCTAAATTCTAAGCTTTAACTCTGGCATAAGCTCTGTAATACTGACTAGCTATGTTTTTTTAAATGCTTTAGTTCCCCTGTGGAATAAAACAAGGAAGAAAGAAAGAAAAAAGACCCAGATTAGCAATGCTTAATTTAGGACTGCTAACCTATTCCCAAAAAGGTATTTTAAAATTCTTTCATTGTCCTCTGATACAGCTGTTCATATTAATACTGTGATTACAAACCTGAAGCCCTCAGAAATTCAGGTTGTTCTGGCAGATTTGGAATTGTAAAATTGTTGGGATGCAAGATCTGGTGCAATCAATCTCAAATCAGTCAAATCCAGAGAGCCATTCTTGTGGTTAAGGGTGGTGGTAGTACGCGAGGAAGAGCACAGGAACTTGGCGCAGACTAGGTTTGCAGCCTGAATAACCTGGGCTTTCTCTTCTCCTCCTCCCAAGTACTGGAGATAAAACCCTTGGCTTTTGCATTGAGCTACAACCCCAAGCCCCTTTTTTTATTTTTCATTTTGAGCCAAGGTCTAAGTCAGTCTAGGCTCCAACTTGCCATTTCGCTGCCTCAGCCTCCCAAACTACTAAGATTAAAGGCATGAACTACCACAACCAGTTGGCTTTCTAATTTTAAAATAAAGATCACATTACATATTTTGAGCAGATTTTGTACAGAGATAATGAAGTTAAAGTATGCAGAACTCCGCTTACAAAGTAGGTTATTAATAAATGACTGTTAAATACTACTATATGTCTTTCCACCTACTCATTGACAGTCTAGATCTGACGACACATTGATTTTTAGGGTAGAACAAATGAAAAGTTAACAGAAAAAAGTTATAAAATGATTCAGATGGCCGTATTTTGTACTTCAGACTATCTGAAAATAGCAAAATTTTTCTAGTTTTGGATGAGACCCCCTATAAACAAGGTTAAGGGTGACTACAATCCTAGTACTCTGAGACTGAAGCAGAAGGACTGCAAGATAACTTATCTATTTTCAAAACAGAAAATAATCAAAAGGGCTGAGGATGTACCTTACTGCAAAGGCCCTGGATTCAATCCCTAGTGCTAGAAAGAGAAGGGGAAAAAGTTAGTTCACACTAACTAGTCAATGTGCTCTGGTCATGTTAAGAAAACACGGACTGTTAAAGACACATTTATCTGATTCTTTATGTGAGACAGAGTCCCACCATGTACTTCAGGCTGTTCTGAATCTGGCTTATCTGATTATCTTTTAAAATTTATGTTTATGATTGGCTGATTACAGTGCTGGGGATTAAACTCACTGAACTATGATCCCCAGTCCCTTATCTGGTTCTTTTACTCATAACTCTGTTTTAATGTAATTCTTTTACTTGGAACATCTCTATTCATTAAGGCCTCTTTTGTACTTAGGTGGTTATAATAAAACCAGCTGGGCATGTTGGCACATTACCTATTATAAAAGCACTTGGGAGGCTAAGGCAGGAGAACTGCTATGAGTTTGAGGCCAGCTTTAATTATGTAGCAAGATCCTATCCCAAAAAAACTAACAAACAAAAAACAAAAACACAACAACAACAAAAAAATCCCTAGTGACTGTACACAACTGTTCAGGCTTCTAGTCATTTATCAGTCTTTTGTTGTGATCGAAATGTGCACAGTATTCATTTGCAAAGTCTCTGTCCAGATTGACTAGAATCAGTATTATCTATTTTGATCTTTACAAATGCCAAACAGCAGAACCTGGAAGAGTCAGTATGGTTGTATTTTCACATTTTTTTCATGTACATGATGTGTAATGAAAGGATGGACTTTGCAATTAGACAGCCCTGGAATGAATTTCAGATCAGTCACATATCAACGATGCCTCTGAGCAAAGACTTAACTTCTCTGAGACTCAGTTTCTTGATCTCTAAAAAAGGGATAACAATACTTCATTTGGGCTTTTGTTAGGAAGCGGATATATATAAAGTGCTGTGTAGCTCAAACTAGGTGCTGAAGAAATGCTATTTATTTATTGGAAGACACAACATTTTAGCAATCTCCTAGGCAGCCACAAACACAATCTAGCAGCATAAGAGCCAAAGCTCTGTATGCACACTGCTGGTCAAAGCCTCCAGTCTCAGAGACAGAAACCATGAAGAACAAGTATCTCCCAAACATTCTAGAACTCCCTGCCAAGCTTTCTCTCAGGTTATGGTTAATATTACCATACACAGAAAAAAAAAAAAAAAAAACCAAGCACAACAAAAAGAATCTGACTGGACAGCATCTTCCTCATTTCAGTTTCTAAAAATATGTATTGCACTTACTTAGAGTCATTAAAATAAACTTGTAACAAACTAGGTTATTGCTTTGTGCTGAGTAATTAACTGTTCAATATCAAGACAGAAGAATTCCTGTAATTCAGGAGAAATGAACCCTAGAGAAGAATCTTGTTTCAGACAAAGTTCTGGCAGTGGACAGCAGAGCACAGTTCTCTGGTTCATGACACTGTGGATTGTCACCACTGGACTCAGCAGAGGATCCAGCTAACATGGACTAGTCTACACAAAGCTTGAATAAAAGCAAGTGGACAGAACAAGGGACAAATATCTAAAAATCATCTTTGAAGGAGAAGATAAAAATTGTAATTAATTACTGTATACACTCTACCTGCAACCCTAGAAAACACAATTTGTCTACCTCCTGCCCCCAGGACTTAGATATAACTGGGTCTCAAACTAGATGTGTATTTCTACTAATTTAAAAAACATTCTAGATTTCATTTCCAGGGTTCCTTTGGAAGTTATGATTTCATGACTTTCAGTTTACATTATAGATTACTGACATGAATATCTGTTATCTTTCAATGGAGGATGGGAGGGCCATTCTGATGGGCCACTGCCCTTAAGAGCTTCCCATGCAGTTGGCTCAAACTGCAGGACCAGTATTGCAGCTTGATGTCCTTCTGCCCAATTTTCTCACAGGAATTACTTAAAAAATTTTTTTCAGTAAATCTGAATTCCTCATCTTTGAGTCTGATTCTGGGAGAAAACAACCTTGTGTGATAATAAAATTTAAAATAATAAAATTTAAAATTTCTCTGGGGAGAAAACTTTGCACAGTGGTCTATAAGTTTTAAAACTGTGTTCATAACTGGTTCTTTCTACATACCCCAAATCACCTGCAACTTCTTACACTGCTAATCAAACACTTACTTTGGGAATATCTATTGAGGTAGTCTGTTGTAGGCTGGCTAGTCAACAGTCATTCCCTCATTCCCAGTCTTTGTTTCTTGGCCACCCCACCTCACACTATAACGACTAGAAAATCAAAAGTTCATTTTCTCAGTCTTCAATCCTACTGGGGATCACTATGAGACATATTTCTGGCCTGTGGAAACTAAGCACAGCTTACTAGGAGGATTCCAGAAGCTTTGGCTTTCCTGAAAAACAGCAACCTATGTGGTGGGAAAACAGTCCCTTCCCTTTTCTTTATCTTGAGTTACTATGTGACAGTGAAAGCTATAGCAGGCATTTTGTGGTCACATGGAAAATCAGATTATCAGTACCTTCTCCTTTGTATCACTACGCTGTGCAATCCACGCCAGAAACTATTTACCTTGAGGACTTACATAAGAGAAATAACTCTCTATTAAGATGCTATATTATAAAGAGGTTTTTCTTTGTTGCCTGCTTAATATGTTATTTTTTAATGAACTTAAAAATGGCAGGTTTTCTCATATTTTAAGTTTTTTGGCTGTCATAATGGCTATGCCACTGGCACTTGCTGTCACAGTCAGAGACACTGTACATCCTTCAATGCATGGGGCAGTCACACCCACAACAGCAATTACATGCTGCAACAGAACAGTCGAGCCATTTCTAAAAGCCACATCAAGTATATTCTTTTTAACTCATATTAATCATACTAGTCACAAAAAATATAAAAATACCCAGTGACACACCCTGATTTTTTTTTTTTTTTTAATTTCTCTAGGCAGCTGAGTAACTTACCACTGGGTCATACTCCCAGAGTTGGTTGCCTTTTAGGTGGTGGCATTTGAGCATGGTAACTGGGCCATTAAGTTTGGAAACATCCAAGCAAAGATCATCTGTTCTAATTTCTTTGTTGGCAGTATAAGAGAAAACCTAGAAAACAAAAATGTACACAATTAAGTTACTTGTAAGTAAAAATTACAAGTAAAAATCTAAAGACGCCTAATAACTTGGCAAGGAAAAAAAAATAACCCAAAGTATTTCAAGACACATGACTTGTACTTTATTAACCACTTATGCTGAGCATCACTCAGGCAGGTGTCATTTCAACCAGTTGATTCTTGTACTGAATAAATTAGATAGAATTGTCATTTTTATATTATAAAAATTAATGAAAAATTCAAGTTTTGGTCATCGTTTACTTAAGTAACTGGACTGGTAAGTAGTTAAAGTAAGTTTACCATCAAGTTTACACAGAGAAAGGTAAAAATGGCCTTATTTTCTGTATATATACTTGTATACTGTTGTCAAAGGTTGTCATCTATTTGACTAAAAAAGGGCAAAATGCATCTTGTGTTCAGTACTGTCAATACAATTCTCACAACGGGCCTTTCACAAATGTTTTATTTAAAAATATCATTAGATTAGCTGGCTATGGTCACGCATGCCTGTAATTCCAACATTTGGGAGCTGAGACAGGAGAATCTCGTGAGTTCAATGCCAGCCTGGGTTACACAGTGAGTCCAAGACCAGCCTGAATTCAAAGTGAGACCTTGTCAGGAACAAAACAAAACAAAATTATATTTAAGACTTCCTTCATCTAATCGTCTTTATTATTTTCTCTTTAAACTGAAAAATATTTCTAAATGGTGTCATCAGACAAAAAAAAAGCAAAGAAGACATTTAAAAAATATCCTTTAAAAATCTAAGATACTCACCTGATTACCTCCCATACCGTGACAATTAAAAATTCCAACTTTTTCATTCTCTTTTCTAGCCATGTTATCTAGACACTGATTTGTTTCCACATTTCGTATCTGTGAGACAATGAAAATAACAGTAGAGAAGTTAACTATATAGACACATAGATACACACAACACTAAAAATCAATCTAAGCTTTCTTTGTACTACTTTGAAATCATCTCAAATTCTTTAGGTAAAGGCTATGGATTAGGGGTAAAGATCATTGTCTAGCTATGTAAACTCTTTGGCCTAGAAATGTCTTATAAACTATCTCTGTAATTTCTGTGTTTAAACAGGGAAGTTTCTCTTTCATTCTTCCACTTCTCTGAGAATTTACATTTAGTTTAACTCCTCAACGATACTATTGACAAAGTTAAGGGTGTTACTTATGACAGCTACTCATGACTTCTCATGAGACTTAAGGTGGGCATTTTCTAGCCAAAGAGTTTGGAACTCAGCTTATGTGAAAACCCAGATTTGGTGTGGTACAAACTTAACTCTCTTATTCAGTATGTGTCAATTACATAAAAGGAGCTTAAATCATTCTTTAGAGTTAAAAAGGGGTATTTTAAGCAATTCCTTTTGATATTGTCTTTTCTCAACTACTGTAGTTTAAAAACAGACATCTGGAAGCCCTAAACCTACTCCCTGGGATGACATCATTAGCAAATAAGCCAGAGGGAGATACTGTAGACAGACTACTGTAGTCATATCATGTGTGACATGCGTGAAAAACAGGTGAAATTAAAACTACCAATGAGCCATTTGTTTTATCTACATGCTATTCCAATATTTTAATAAGTCCAGATACACGTTTCTTACAAAGATCCAAGGGAGTGAGTGTAAAAACCTGCTGTCTTGTTCCCAAGCAGCCTGGAAGAAGAAACTAAGGTTCTTGAATAAGAGGCCCAGTTAAATCCAAGTGGCTCACTGCCTTTTAGATCAGTAATGGAGTGGAGGGCTAAGATAGAAGCACTACGTGGAGGCCACATGAGACAGTATGTCTAGGTCCCTGCTTCAGAGTGCAGCAGACGGGGGTTCAGAAACAGCAGCACTCCGCAGTCACTGCCATCTTTTCCCTAGTCACTCCCTCTGCTCTTTTACGGAGACCTCAGACTCATTTCATTCAGAACCAGGCTGTCAACATTTTAATATTGATACTCCCCCATCCTAACACTTTAGAGTGCCCCAACAAAAAATAGGGCTTACTACTATCCTATTCCTCAAAAAACTTCCCGTTCCACTGATACATCAACTGATTCCTAATTGCACATGTCCAATTACTCAAGTCGGAAATTTCAGTCTTTTTCTCTTCTAGATCCAATATATATTACTGTCCAGAATTTTTTATCACATAATTCACATCATCTTTTTAATCTATTACTTTAATTCAGGAGCTGTCTTATAACTAGTTTAAATAAAAGATTTTACAGCTAACTACAAATCTGCATACAGTGAATCTGCATACAGTGAACTATGCCTCAGTGGGTGGTCAATTAATACTTGTGACAATGAACTTGAAAAAGAACTGACTTCAAGTTATGATGAGACATGTCTTTGTCTCACATATTCACACACATAGTTCATAGATTTGATAAAAATGGCAAACACACCAATTCTTTGTTTTCCTTAAGTTTTTCTTAATATAGCATAGGTATAAAGGTTGCTGAAAAAAGGGGATACATGCTGTAAGAATGACAAAACCAGAAGTGGTGTTAGCCCCAGCTTCGCATTTTGCTGAATGAAATGGCTTTTTGGTTATATAACTGCCTTTTACCAAACTCAAAATGAATTTTAAAAAATGCAATTCTCAGCCAAAACCTGTAAAGCCAGCACTCTGGGAGGCTAAGATAGGAGGATTACAAACTATAGCCTATCCCAGGAGAATGAGTGACTGATGTGATCTCAAAAATCAGTAAAAGGGTTCAGGTACAACTCAGTGCCAAAGTCTCGGGGTTGATCCTCAGTACCACAAAAGACACCAAATCAAACTGTAAACAAATAACCAAACCAAACCAAAAAAGCATAAAAATCTCACAGAATTCTTCTAAAATATAATAGGGCTTTATATCACTTTGGAAGTATCTTATAACTAAATAACTTTGGCTATTTTGTTTCCATAAGTGATGTAGCTAATAAATCACAGCAAATAAAGACACTTCTGTTCTATATGGAATTCATATACATAGCCTATGTTATCCTTACAACATTCCTAATTCTGAGTTGACATGAGAGCTGGACTCTAATCACTGGGGTCACCCTCCTGACCATTAGATGTTGAAAGTGATATCTTTCCAAAGACTAGACATTTACTGCTTCTTATCTGCTGTTAAGAGTGAATTAACCCTTTACAGCAAAATGTGGCAGTGGTGTGTGTGTGTGTGTGTGTGTGTGTGTGTGTTTGTGTTAAAGACCCAGCTTTAATGTCTAATGGGGTCAGTGGCACATTTCCAAAGTGCAAGAAAAACAGAGAAATGCTCTGCAGATTAAACTTGCAGAAGAGGACAGCTATAATGTTTTTGTCTTGGAGTGCCATTTATACTAGAGGGCAGATAAGCTTATTTCCTCAGAAAATACATAGGATCTTTACAGCCAAAGAAGATGGCTGCTCTCCTGGTAGGTTCCCTGGCAAATTGGTTGGCTAGAAGATGTAACTTCGGGGAAATATCATTTTCCTTCACTCCATTGTGACGCAGTCCACATGTGTTCCTACAAGTGATATTAAAAATCAAGAAAACTAGGACTTAAATTTTTTTTGTCTGTTTTTAATTAAATATTGATTTTACTGCTTAAGTACACAGACAAATTTACGCTACCAGGCAGAGGCTGTGGATGACTCATTGTTATGGTTGAATCATTTTGTCAACTTGAGAAGTTTAGAAGCTTAACTAAGTAATTAGCAGTTCTACATAACAAGGTACAGAGGACCCGCTCTCTGATGGTTATTTATGCTCTAGGATGTTGTAATGGTTGATTCATCACATCAACTTGAGCAGTTTAGAAGTTTAAATGACTCAGCAGGGGACCAGGGTCTTCATTTTGTAAACATCCTGAGCCCAAGCAAGAGGAGGTCACTGAGATGGTGTAAGTGCTGCACATGCCCTAGGGTGGGTAGCCTACGTACAATTTAAGGGAGGAAAAGAGGCTCATTGTCCCCCTTTTTGCTCTTGTTGCTTTTTCTGTCTTCTATTGCCTTGAAATACCACCCCTGTGCCACACTACCCTATCTTGGAGCCAGCTGACTATAGACTGAAACTTCCACAAACTGCGAGCTAAATAAACCTTTCCCTCTTTAATTTGGGCATTGGATATTTTGTCTCAGCAACAAAAGTAACTAACATACTCAAATTTTCAATTGAGGAGTGGGGCACGACCTGCTTGGTCTTGTAATATTAAGCCAGTCTGTGAATTCAGCTCTGGATGAGGACCAGATGTAACTTGGCATCCTTATCCTTTCTGTTCCTCTCAAGATGCTTTTGAAAAGTAAATGCTTTCTTATTTAAGTGGTAGAGATCCTCAGGGAGATCAGGAACAACTCTTTTAGACTTAAGGATTAAGATTTTATAACCCGTCACAAAATATACTTGTTCAATGCCATGAGCACCTCTCAGAATCACAACAATTTGTGAGAGAATCAAGTCCTTCTTGGCCAGTTTGTAAATCTGCTCCCTCATATTGTCAGACTCAGCTCTAGCCAGGTAGGGACACTACAGTGTTATAGCTCAGAGCTGATTGGGAGAGGTGTTTCCCAGAAGTATGCATATGACCCATGAGGGTGGAGGTCTGGAAGCCAGTACTTAAATTTTACCAATAATTTTGTTTTTTGGGATTCTGGGAGAAAGAAGATCACCTAATAGTTCTGATGAGAGTTAAATTTGAAGAGCCTTTGGAAAAGGGAAAAATTAGGAGCAAACAAATTTTCTAGGCCTATGAATTAGATGTTCAAAATTGTAATTCCATATAGCTCTAAGACTATGTAAATAATTACCACCTTTCCAGTGAGGTGTGGCAAGAAGTAATGATGGCAACACACACTTATTTCAGTATCTGCATTAAGATGGAAATAGGTACCATGGTCGATTATTTAACACCTGACATTTTAAAGCATTATTTTAAAACAACATTGTTTGGCTTGTGTGGCAGTAGCTTTGGGGACAGCTTTGACCCTCCCCTGCCCGCCTACCATGAGGTGGTGGGTGCCGAGGGGTAACTTTATTTTGTAGCAGAACAGACAACAAATAAAAGTAGAAGAAAAGAGGCAGACTTTGAAACTACTTCAACTTCAGGAATGATAGGAAAACTCAATCAAGACATTGAGACTAGAATAATGGGTGGAATGAAAGTAGGGAAGATGGTGGAGTGGAGAAAAAAGAGAAAGACTTATGTCCAGATCCTGGAAAAAAGCAACATGAGCATGGTAAGGAGAAGGGAGATAGGTCCCCCAAGGACCCAGGAAGGATCTGAACTGAGACTTGAAACCCATGCAGAGAGATCCTTCAGGAATATAGCAAAACCTAAGAAAAACAGGGGCGGTAGCTCTGTTGGCCAGGTGACAGCAGCAAGGAAGCCATGCAGCCCCTACCCCATGTGCCAGCCGACACCCTGCCGGCTGGAAAGAAGCACCAAGAAAGCCATGTGGCCCCCACTCCCAGTGTGCTGGTGAAGGCTCTGCCAGCTGGGGAGAAGCAGCAAAGAAGTTGAGTGACCCCCCGCCCCCATATGCCGGCGGCAGCCTTATTAGCTGGGGAGTCATGCAGCCACTCTAAATATGCCAGTGGTGACCCTGCTGGCCAGAGAGAACCAGTAAGGAAGTCGTGCAGCCCCCTTCCATGCATCAATGGTGGCCATTGTCTAGGGAGAACCAGCTAGGAAGCCATACAGCTCCCATGTAGTGGTGGTGGCCCTGCCAGCCAGTGGAAGCTAGTAAGGAAGCCATGCAACCTGCCATGTGTCAAGGCAGCTCTGCCAGCCAGGGAGAACTAGCAAGTCCCCCCCCCCCCCCCGCCTTAAGCAACCAGACATGACACAGGCTGAGATGAGAGTAACTGAAGTAGAGAAGCAACCTCATATGGG